AGTGACCAGTGTTTACCGTAAACTCTCTGGAACATAGTTTGGCGCGTCAAGGGTTGACGGACAGCTGGGGGAGCTAGGCTGAAATAGCTAACGGGGAGATCAGCTACACGGATTAGTATCCAGGTCCGGTGTCCGTAGGGCGGTTTGTACTGGTCGCGCCCTGTGTGTAACTGAAAACAGTAGAAACAAGTGCCCGTAATCAGGCCGATACTCGGCACGCCGTGTGATATGTCAAATTCAATGAGAACTGTACGTTATCGAAACTTGTCGCTGCATTAAATAACTACTAAAGCACGACATTATAACAGTGTCGAGCCACATCATGGATATAACACCTGTTTTACGAAGTACTGAGAATGCGGCGGTTCACGGGGATACCAATGGTAAGTAAGTCATGTTTTATGAACTCAGTTTTAACGACCCAACAAGTCATAATAACTTTTTGGCGTTACTACATGATTGTTTTAAGTGTTATTTTTACCCAATGATTACGGGTATACGTATGTACCCTCGAAGTTTAGTGTTCTTCAAATACGCTATTGACTAGCAACATTGCACGTACGACTGAGTTGCATGGCGGTACTGAGACGGAATCGGACTCTTGGTACCCTCCCAGCCACACTTGTTCTTCAAAAAAATAACAACAAGAGACGACACTCATAAACAGAGTGTGATTTTACGCGTCACCGGGCGTTGAGGTCACGTGACTTCGAATAGCGTGAATATATGACGAAGTATTGGTTGACAACCATAACAGTTCCGTATCTCGGCACTGTCGGTATGACGAATGGATGCTGTAATATAGTGCGCTCTAGAGTCCAACGTATCATGGCAACCGACAGCGCGGTACATACTTTTTATCGGGGAAAGTTTCTTTGGGCACATTTTTAGCCGAATGACGATCATATCCAAATTTTTCCATTCACCTGTTTAAACTAAGTTTCTCTAGTTTGATTTAGTACAGTACTGTGCTTGTAGTTGTACACCGTGACCAATACGCCGCTAATGATTGTGTACAGTAACGATAGTTTCTCTAGCTCTAAATAAAATCATTACATTATTTTTGACTCAGGTAGTATAATAGTAGTTAGTGAATTTACATCAATACTCGTCATATTTACTACAAACAGTGTACCATCTCGATGAGTCTCATTAAAGCCATAGTCTGTCATCTTTTAAGCGCACCAAAAGCGCGCCCTCGTTACCACACAAGCGGCAATTGTAGTCAACACCTTAGCAGTATAACTGCAATAAACTGGGGTTTCGCCAATACATTAGATTATTCACCAATCAGTAATTTGCTCGAAAATGGACATTTATAAATAAGACGTATCGTACCGACTGAAATGACCCAATTTCTCGCCCCAGTGATCGAAACAAACTGCTATTTGTAGTCGTGCATTATTCTGTATTATTATAAAAAGAAACACGATGTCTGGCTGAACCGAGGTTACCTAGCAACCACACATGCCTTGACACACTGTGGACAAAACAACCGGCATGGTACGGAATGTATTGCCCCGGTATCCTACCTTATTACTGTGTGCAGGCACAGGATAACACAGCATGTTCGATCCATTTTTTAAAAAGACTCAACATAATATCTCCACATCTGTGATTTAAATTTGTATATATTAGCATTATGTACTGACCATCATCCGTACTACATAAGTTAACATCATTTAATTATTATTATGAACTGTCATTACCGAATTAATTTATCGGTACGTACTGCCAGTATGATCCCTGGAATTCGTACAACCCTTTCTCCATTGTGTCCCGGTCTATTTTGACATGGTTACAAACAACTACAGTTGTTTGATATCATTTTTATAAAAATAAATATAACCACCGAATGCACCAAAAACTGAATTCAAATACCCTCGGTATTAGTACACCATCTACTAATCGAAAGTGGCCTTGAAACTTGGTGTGCGTGGTGGTCACGTGACACTTTTCTGGCGAAGAAAAGATGTGTAAATTGCATGCTGAATTGCTAGCTCTAACTCTAACTCTAACCCTAACCCTAACCCTGAACGTAATTCGATTCCCTAGGTGCTACTGTTAGCTGTTACTAAAGCTGGTACATCACAGGCCTCCAATCAAAACAATGACCCCCTACCTACCAGTCGTTACACAATACCGGGGAACTGCCATCTCCCCCATAATAACTGTCCTGTTTCAAATGAAACCAGTATGCAACCAGTTTTACCAATGCATCATGGGAAATATACATCCAGTATGTGAGGGTATGTTCGTAGGATGTCTATCGACACCCTTTAATATAATCCTATTACATCTGTTTTTATCGATTTTGCGTAACTGGTTATAATATTTGCTACACTCCCAAGTGATTATTCGTCAGCCCTTTCCCATGCCACGCCACGCCACCGCACTACACTACACTACACTACACTACACTACACTACACTACACTACACTACACTACACTACGTAACGCTGCTTCCCACATTCCACTGGTTCATTACATCATTATATTGCTTACCATGAATATTTATTGACATTCTCAACATTCTCGTGTTTTATCCACGATATTTAGTCTGTAATTCTATAAGAGGCCTGCAAATTGGGTAAACGTCGCGCAGAGGGTCGTAGCCCTGGGTGTTAAACACGCGGCACTCTTTGTGATATAGCAGAATGATACTACTGTCCGTGTGGTCAAATTCCGTAATGGTTTATAGTCAAGCCCTTACTCTGATATTTCATCACAGAAATCGTGCCTTTGCTCACGTCTCCAGTCTCCAAATACACTTTATAGCTCAGACTATTCTACTAACGTCTCTTCATCTCAATGGTGTATATCGCTATTTCAACTCAATGACACAGTAATTCGTTAACTGCCTCATCCCACCCATACTTTAACAAACCACTTTTAGTTCTTCGATGATGAATCATCTCATCCGACACACACGATCTGTTAATGATACTCGTATCCAAAAACTGCCTTCCCCCCTTTTACGCGGCGCTTGTCAGATGTCTACACTTCATGCAGCCCTCAGGTGTTCTTGAGATGACATCGGGTCAGTGTGAGAAAAACAAACAGATGTAATGTTTATAATCGTCGTGTTGCGCGGGCAAGAGATAATTTTGTACACTTCCAATGACTGAGTGACGTGTGGGAAATTGCCCAAGGATGTGTTGGCAGATGGAACTCCTCCCAGTTACACCCGTTTCAAATGAACAGTCATGCACCACTCCGGATAACCACTTGTAAACTGTTACCGCGTTAAGTGGGTCACCGAAGCGAAACTGTTGTTGACTTGAAGGCGTGTCGAACCGGGAACTGTGGTTCGATGTTCAGACCTAACGCCGCAGTGCATCATATATATCACACACGTTATGATATCTTATTTCAGTTTAGTGGTATATTAATTTTCTTGTCTACAACTTCGATGTCTCCGGGAACACACAAATAACCGCCAGTGCAACTAGGCGGGCATATCTACTGTAAATACTGCGCTAACGCGGACAACTAAGTGATGTGACGATGGATAATAACGATGATTGTCTAATTCATGATTACCATGATCTCCCTCCAGCTGACAGTCCTCTCCGGAGTGCACTACTCCACAATCGTGTCGTACTGGTGAACAACATGAGAGCCCGAAGCATTCTTTGTCAACTGGTAACAGAAAGAGTCTTCAAAGAAGCGACTGCAGAAGAGGTGAAGAAGGTCGGGAAAGGTACTAACATTGAAATGAACGAAGCGATCATCGCTGAGTTGTATGGCCTAGGAGATGTACAGATTTTACGCCTATGTCTTATTTTACGACGAAATGGACAGGGATTTCTGGCAGATTTGATACAAGATGACGTCAAATCGGGTGAGTATTGTTTTCATAGAACTGGAAGATATTGTAATATCAGAATGAATATCGATAACATGTTACTAGTATTATATTTATTCTTAAAGTGTTTTTGTGGACAGGAAAATTGTGAACCAACTAGGATATTTATAATTTACCAAAACAAAAACTACACACCATACAATTGATGATATAATTCATCTGAAAAGAAATATATCTTATACCCTTTGTGAAACAATTTTACTCTTCATATAAATATCCGTTATATATATATGTAATGCATTACGTCGGCACCATAAATTCACAGACCAGTTGTCATGACAACACACGTGGACCTGCACCAAAACTGAACAACTAATGCATTATTCCCACAGAGAGATAAATACTAGTATGTTGTTATTGCACAAGTTCGCATTCCAATCTCCGATTATTGATATAGAAAGTATTAGAAAACAAAACAAAACACGAAAGTATGTAACCAGTAATACATATATACATATACATCAAAATAGTTGCACCTGTGGATGCGGAATAGTTATACGAGTATGAATTTACCGACAATTGTTCACTCGAGTTTTAAACTTTTAAGTACAACTTTGTTGTAGCATTGCTTACAATATCATAAACCCCAATATCCATCTGTTACACTATTTTGAAATACGCGACCTTGACCCTTCACACAATACATTCGTAGAATGAATACAAAGTTAAAAATTATAAATCTATTACAAAGCTGTCTCTTTTTTGAATGCGTTAATATGTAAAAATAACACCAGCTGGCGTATGAAATGTGTTGCTTAGTGGTATAAATGTTATGTATGTTGCTGCAGCTGGATACGTCAGGCAAATGACCATTTTTAATACGATATAAAGAACATCCCAGCAAAAATCGAAATTCAATCTCGACCAAATACAAATATTTCTAGTATAAGTATATGTACAAAACATCAACTTGCTAATCAATGTTAGTGTCATAGTAAGATACATTGCCGCGCTCAACATTCCACATAGCCATGTTTGCTGTTTATTAAAAAATATTAAAACCATAATTGTTTTCTAGAATGTGTGACGTCATGGTTTTGAACTGGTACGTGTTATCACGTCCCTCCCAGGAATAACCAATTGACTTACTCTTGGAGAATATTTCTTGGGCATTTTTGATAATATGATTCATGATATCTGTGTCATAATTGTTTTTTATGTTTAAAATATCTTTGAGTTCTGCTCGGTTGAATTTGATAATAAATATTTAAAAGATGCTTAAATGCGCCGATGCGTTACTTTTGTTTGCATTAAAATAAATTAAGCTAAACTAAATTCAAATCCAGAATTTTATTCTTGTTTTTGTCATCGATAAACTGGTAGTCATTTTAGTGAAAGCACGTGTCGGATCAGGACCTTGACAGCTTTTAGTAGTTTGTTAAACTCTCCATGGATGCAAATTAGATCGGTACCCAGTAGGACGGCGTAGGTCATTGAACTGTTAACGACTCTGTAATGATACCACATAGCTCCAAATTATGTACAAATTGTACAGTTTCATTAAAACTGAGACGACAAATGTTATATTACACATTGATGTGACGTTTCTGTATTGAAGTGAACGTTATCAACACAGAATATGTAAATATATATGACAGTTATATTAATTATTACTCTTTATTTCATTTGTTTGACATTCTTAACTGTTATGTAAATATTGTTTTCTGGCATATGACACAAACCGATATTCAGAGATAATCGGTATTGTCAAATATATTTGAATACAATGTGTTAGCGGATTTAATATTTCTGCTGAATATGTCGACGAACAAATATAAAACATTAAAGCGGAAGGATCGTCACCTACGCATGCGCCGGAATTTGATTCCCAAGCGACGATAACAACGCACTCTAAAAACGCAAAGGCTCATGGGTAGACGCTATGGCCATTTGCCGCATACGCAGGTGTTGACTCTCCCGCTATAACATCTACGACAGAATAGTTTCTTTAAAAACAAAATATGATTCATGATTACTTCAATATGGAATCTCGGACCCTTTGCACTTTACACCTTCTAAAATTCGCGCCCTCTAGTGACATAGCGCGTAAGTGACGTTAAAATGACGTAAATTGATGGAATCGCTGTCGTTTGGTTGTGTGGTCGTTCGTCATCTAGAATATAGTAAATCTCTCAATTTCGTGGGCGACGACTTCAGTTAAAACAATTTCGAAAATTTTACTTGTTTACGTCATTTTTTTACGTTATTTTTTTACCATTTACGTCACAGAATCGTCTGTCACTAGAGGGCGCGAGTTATAGGTACTTTTATTGGTATCTCTTCAATCGCCACAGTCATCGCGTGTATTTAACATACGTCGCGTGAGACCCGTGTCAAACATGAAGTAGTGCGACATCCTTTATGGTGGAGAGCTATTAAATAGTGAAAATAATTTCTTTCAAGTGCGTTTTAGACCTGTGAAATTTCTTGCTGCAATGACGAAGAAGATAGAATAAAAATATGGGGTTTACCGTACTCTGTCTGAAGACAATTGATGTACAAAATGGTGTGGAAATGGCACGTTTTGTTTGTTTTAGGGCATTTTACCATTGCCTCCTACAGCAGGCCTTAGAATAAGCCTAGCAATACGTTTACCCGGTAACCGTCACAGATGCGAAAACTAATTGAGACTACTTGTATAAACTAGTAGCGGCTAGCTGCATCCATGGGCCCAAATGAAGCTTCACACTTTGTGATCTCTATGAAAACGACTGTTATTATTACAGTTTTTTTCTCAAAATCACCGATTGACAGTGAACAAAACAAATCCCCATACTGTTGACTAATACTATTATGATTTAATCACAGACGACTCTTGTATTTAACAAGAAATATTACCATTGCTTTGAAATTACATACGCACATAAAAAAGTGGTGTGTGTATCACGAATACACTATTATTTATGTTGATATGTTGATATAATCGAGTATTTCAGTTACATGTCATTGATTTATTTTAGGTTGTATTAAGTTTACTCCTCCATGAACTCAAGTCATGTCAACAAATCATGATGCCAATCGTAAATTAATATATTTGTAAATCATTAGATGTAATCCATGTCTGGGATCCGGCATCAAAGAAGCTTGGTAACCACTGGAAGAGGTTGGCATTGGCATTGAAGACGGAGACGTGTATTGCCAAGATCATCGAACTCTACCCAGATAACGTGCGAGCACAGGCATTATTCTGGTTGATAGAATGGGAGAAAAATGACGCCACCAACGCCTCGCCGAAGAAATTGGCGGAGGCCCTGCAGTCGTGTGGAATGAAGAAAGCTGCCGGTGAGTTTTTGTGTCTTACTGGGAATACATAAAAGCTAGTTCAAGCAAGTGAGTAATTAAGTTGGCAAGTAAGTTAGCGAAGTGATAATGATTCGAGAGAGCGTACGAAGCAGTGTTGTGATGATCTAGAATTGTTGGGAGCTCGGCCGGTTATTCCGAGAGGGACGACTCTTTCTAATACTTGTACTAGTATGTGGTAATGCCTTTAACCAGTTTACCTTGCTTTCTGTTACCTTATTGTCCACACTTTGTAACAATGACACCTCATATTTAAGGAACTTGGTGACGTGTGAGATGATTGTTGATATTTCCTAGACATTTACCATGTGGTTTGACTTAGTATAACATAAGGTCACGTGACGAAACTCAGCGCGTCAAATAAAATGGCGAGTTTTTTTTAACGATTCGTCATGATACTTTTGATTCATGGTAATGGTCATTTATTATTATTTCAAAATATCGTGTATTTACTATACATAATAATATATAACATGAAAGTAATTATGTTAACCCTAACATTGTTTCAAAGACAGTTTAATTTTGTAAAATATTAATGAGTTACGTCGAAATGAGCAATTGTGCATGTTTCATCTAATTTTGTATGTATTGCAAAGAGTATGCATTGCTTTATAAAGGAAACAGCGCTATTTAAAGTAAGGTGAAAGCCTCTTGTGACCAGCCGTCGATACAGTCGTGGCATCACACAACTTTACAACGCGCAATGTACGCATATTGGTGACATGTTGCTTGTTCTCATCCCAGCAACGTCATCAGGTTACTATGGCAATGTCTCCTGGGTTGACCGACCTGTCAGGTGACTGGTAACCTTATCGGGTGTCGATGTCCGACTCTCTCTATGAGATGAATACCCCGTGAACACACACTGTGTGCCCACCGACAATACACATACGATGGCAGAACGGTGGGTGAAAAGACGCAGTGTTACTGTGACGGATTCAATTGTTAACCGGTCTAGGACAAACGGCATTGAAAAGGTCGCGTGTAAATACGCAAACTGTAAGGATTCATAACTTGTTCAGAATTATTAATGTTGTTCAACTTAGTAAAACGTGAGTCCATAAAAGTAATTTTATTTCCGACGACTTATTAAAAGAAGTGAACACACACATATTTGTAAACACTCTCACATGTATAACAGGTGTATAATACATTTTAAAAGTGAATTAAATAGCAATATAAACTATTTTGAAACTGAAATAAAATTAGCCACTACTATTAGGAGCGCGTCTAGGCATGCAATTACAAAAAAAAAAGTGCATAGGAGTCCCGTGCTCCTTACGGTACTTCAATCCTGTTACAATAATCATTTGCGTAGGTTTCCCTGGCAAATGCACGATGAGTATACAGGTGATCGAGACGAGCTCTAGCCAATTATACTAAATGTTGAATAATGAATACTACAAACATTAACAAATACCCACCCTGAGTATTGACCCTGACCAAGCACACGAGATTCTCTCTCTTTGTTCGTTTATATTGCGTTTCTGCGCTCTATGTTACAACAGCATCTCCAGTCAATGCGAAAATCGAGATCCATTCTCGGCTATGACATACATACAAAGATTTGCAAATATTGGTGACACTTGCATACTCTTTGCCTAATTAATTAGTTGTCCAAATGATTAATTATACATGTCTAAAAGAGTTACATGCAATACATACACTATAAGGTGGTGTGTATAACACTACCCAACCGTATTTTATATTATTCCATTTAAACAAAATTTGGCCTAACATGAAATCACCATAACGTATAACCAAACTTGATGGGAAATCCACGCAATAATATGCAAATAGAGATCCTTACTAAATAAAACCAAATTCAAGAAATGCGAAAAGAGGGGGAGGGGCGCACTGAACCGTGAACGAAATGAGATATCCAATATTTAATACTAGATTTGTATCAGCAAATATTAACTGGATAGAAAGTTGGTATATACATTTCAAAGCGAATGTCCTGACTGGTATGCCCAAGTTAACATGGCCGAATAGATGATTTTCCGTACAATTGCGAGATCTCGCGAGATGCATGAAAGACGCGCGTCGAACGTCTGCCGCAAAAATCGAACGATTTGATTTTGAACTAGAATTTCTTTATTTCGTAGCTTACATTGGCCGGCCGATCTTCGACAGAGGAATATTGCTTCCGAATACCCTTACTTAATCGAAATTGTCTATCATCAAATGTGGACAGCACATTATTAAGCATGGAAATGTCCCCGAAATACTTTCGCATTTGTCGAATCCCACGCGATGTTTGACGCGACTACGACGCTATGACCTTTGTTTGTCCTGTTTTTACGTTCGATTTCACGCATAACGCGTGATTCTCGCAGTGAACGTAAAATGGTCTATTGCATCACATGTGTTTCCAAGCGTCTTCTGTCAGCTGACAACATGTTAGTTTGGGTGATACACATACTGCACGTGTTGACAACCAAAATAAGAAAACGAACATTTAACAAAGTAGAAGACGAGTACCATTTTATTATTAAATGCCCCTTTTACGAAAAATCGCGAAAAGCACTATTTGAAGAGACTACTAAAGACATTATAAACTTCGTGAATATATGTGACTACAACATATTTTTAAAATTAATGGGTGATATAATTGTAAATGTACAACTACCAGTTGCCAATTTATCAAAAATAACACGAACCTTAGACAGCAACATCTTCTGGCAAGTGTTTCATTGATTTACTGTTTATTGTTTATTGCTTATTATTATTATTATTATTATTATTATTATTATTATTATTATTATTATTATTATTATTATTATTATTATTATTATTAT